AAAAAAAAAAAAGACTTCATCTTTGTGGTTCCTGGGTGGAGTTAAAGTTGGCACCACCAGAAAGATGTGGCAAAGATTCCTGCTTCTGAGTTACCCAAGCTGCGGCTGGACCTACCTGTGAGTGTTCAGTGAGGGTTTTCCATGGGCTCTTGGACACCTTGCCCTTGCCCTTGATAAGCTGGGTTTTGGTCTACTCACTCCTGATGAAATAAAGGAGAACCTGATCGCTGAGCCAGCCAGTGGGCAAGAGCAGCAGGAGAGGAGCCAGGCCACTGGGACACTCCCTTGCATGTCCTTGAGCTGAGAGTCCCAGGTGTGGTCTCCTCCATTCAAGTTCTCATCATTCTAGTCAGTGTTTTCCAAGGTGCGCTCAAAATACCCTGCATAATAGATCAACTTAGGAGGCATGAATAAGCATGTTCTATCTACATATCTGCATTTAATTTCATGTGTATGGGAAACGACACATCAAAGGATGGTACCTTCACATTACTGCTTGGACAAAGCATCTATTTAGGTGAAAAAGATACATTTAAAGAAATATGGATGAATAGTACCAATGGTAAGTGCTGATGGACATGGCTAATTTAGGAGCCAGGACTTGTGTCAGTGACTGGGAGTAGCACTCTGGATTCTGAGAAGTCTGGATTCTAAATATAGAGACTTCACTTTTGAGCTACATGACTTTAGCTTTTTCTAGATCCTTTAATGACATGTGACATTAAAATCAGCTATACTCATAACATATTTTGCAGGGGACAAAAACAACCTGATATCATCAGTCAATAAATAAATGAATAAAAGAAAATGTGGCATATTCATAGAATATCCAATGAAATAGTATTTAGCCCTTTAAAAAGTAGGAACTTGTGATATAAGAGTAAGCTTGAGAATGTTAAGTTGTGTGAAATAATCTAGCCATAGAAAGATGTCCCTGGTTTCTGTCTGTTGATTTGCTTACTTTGGTCTTTTACAGAAATGAAATCATGCAATAGATGTAGTGTAGTCCCTCAAGACTGGCTTTTCTCTGTTAGCCTAACAATCTCAAAGTTCATGTTATAATAGCATGTATCACTACTCCCCTCCTTTTTTATATTTATTTTTTATTGAGAAATAAATATGAATGAGACAGTTTCACAGCTGATTAATAGGACAGTTTTTGATAGTCAATACACTGTACATTGTTATCTTCTTAGTGGTTATTCATAGTACAAGAAGGAGACAGGACATTCTGTCCAAACACTGTTAGTACACCTCTTTCTTCTTATTGATTCACTTCTTTTTATGGCAGAGTAATATTCCATTGTAGAGCTAGACCACGTTCCATTTACCCATTCAGCAGCTGATTGCATAGGGTCACTTCCACCTTTTGGCTAGGTTTGGATTTCTCTATACCTTGCCAACACTCATTATCTGCTCTTTAAAGTGTAGCCATCCTACCGGGTATGATGTGGCATACTGTTGCAGCTTGCACTTTATTGGCCTTTTGTATATCTGCTTTGGAGAACAGTCTATTCAGATGTCAGTGAGTCTTTCAAAACAAAATTCTTCCTTTGCATACAAATATACTCCATGCCAGCTGGAATTTTTCTGGTTCTACAAGGAAAGCCCATCAGATATTTTGTTCTGAGGCTTATGTTTTTGTTTGTGTTTGTGTAACTTAGCAGCTCATGAATTCCATTTAGCTAAGGTCTTGTTTTCCACCAGAGATTATTTACATAAGATAATTATTGCTTGTATACGTTCTTCCTGCCAGCAGGGAGGAAAAATCACGTGCATGGGGCAGTGTTTCTCTCTCCATTTGGACACTCCTCACTCCTACCACAAGAGCAGCACCAGCTGTCACGGTGCCCATCTCTTCCCCGGGCCTCCCAAATCCATGGTGCTTTTTCCACCAAACTGGAAGGAACTGTGAGAGTTTTAGACATCTCTCTGCCATCCTTCTGTAGCCGTACCGCTTTGGGGAACAAGGCACATGTTCATTCTGAAGTCCTCATCCAGCTTGACCTAAGTTATGCCACCTCCACATGACTCATTATGGAGCAGGTGCTCCTGGTTGAGACCAGGTGCCCGCCCAAGTGGCCCATTCCTCGCTGCTTGTATTTCTGCTGGGTCTGTTCCCTGTGCCGGATGAAACAAACAGCAACAAAGCTGCCATAGGAGTAAATGTGTTGTAGGCACTGCTGACTGAAGGAGCAAAAACCCTGAGCAGAATCAAAAGCCTGAAAATCAAGCCTGGAGACTGAATACATACAATTTAGCCCTGCCAGTCCTCAAGCTGGGGGACAGAGAGGGACAATGCCACCTGCAAGAGTCACAGGACATGACCACCCAGCAGCTATAAAAATGCCACAATCACCCCCTTTTGGCTTTCTTCCGAGCGAAGTCCGAGAGCCACCATTGCTGGTTTAGCTCACTTTGGGGACACCCAGAGTGTGTGCCCACCTTTCCCTCCTAGCAGTACTAGTTCCTACTTAATCCTCACATTTCCCCAAAACAGTCACCTGTGGGGAGCAGACCCTGCCCCGTGGGGTCCAGCCAGTCACTTCAGTGGGACTCTTATAAGACACATATCCTCCCCCT